AAGATCCTGAATCGCAAAACACTGCCAATCATAAAAATAGATGTATATTTTTACAAATCTCTATTTAAAATGAAGACTATTTTAACGATTGTATGTATGCCATACTAAAGATACATATACCCTAAAAATAAATCAATATGTAGCTATACAGCAGCTTATGAAAAATGGCAACTTTCAAAAGCTATATGAACTTACCATCATTGCCAAACCCATTATAGCCATCTCCGCTGCCCCCATATCCTCCTCCTCCTCCTCCTCCACCGCCGCCACCACCACCACCACTGCGGCTGCCAAACCCACCTGAGGGGAAAAAATAAATTATTAGCACATTGATCTGATTTCAGATTTGTGATAAGTCATTAACACACATAGGTTTGGCATTTGTGTAAAAAAAAAAAAAGTATACAGAAAAGATACACAGATCCAAAGCACTGATCAATCCCAGAAAGAAACCCATTAATCTTAATAAGATGCAACAATGTATTCCTTGATGTCCTTACTGTGATTAAGATCTTAAAATGAATTTTAAATCTTCAAAAGCCTTACCCCGGCCTCCGAAGTTGCTACCACGATTGAAATTGTCACCACCGCCAAATCCACCTCCACGCCCACTGCCAAAACTTCCAGAGCTGCTGCGACCTATGAACAACAACAACATATAGCATTCCTGGAAAATATCATTACACTTTATCTGTAGTGCACACTTACTACACTGCATACTTACCTCGCTGACTGGAAGAGGCACTGGCCATTTCCTGTTTTGACAAAGCCTTTCGGACTTCACAATTATGCCCATTTACAGTATGGTATTTCTGAACTAGAGATGAAAAGATAAAATGGTATCAAAATCTCTGTAGAAGCCTCACGTAGAGGCAATAGAACAAGTTAAAGCTTAGCTGAAAGTATGACATAAGATACTTACTGACAATCTTGTCCACAGAGTCATGATCATCAAAAGTAACAAAGGCAAATCCCCTTTTTTTGCCACTGCCACGATCGGTCATTATCTCTATAACTTCAATTTTGCCATACTGTTCAAAGTAATCCCTCAAATGGTGTTCCTCTGTATCTTCCTTAATCCCCCCAACAAAAATTTTCTTCACTGTCAAATGTGCTCCGGGTCTCTGGGAATCCTGAGGCAGGACAAAAAACATTTTAAAATCTAATATTTGTGGCTGCTTGGTGATGATCCATACCATCAAATAACACACTATGTATCTTAAAGACATATTTAAAATGTCAAGCCTATAAATTGCAATTTTTAAAATACTGTAACTCTAAATTTACAGAGCAGCTTTTTCCAAGCTGGCACTGCAGAATAGCAATTCATTTAAATCTCAGCCAACATATTGGTAGAATAGAAGGGAGGAGCAATTAACACTAAATTCTGTTTTTCTCCCAAATGCAATTCATGAATGATTTTTTAAAAAGAACTTATTTAAGAAAACTTATATGCACAGATCATAGCAAAAAATCATAAAAAACAAATAAAACAATTTAAATTAAAAGCCAGTAAAATTTACAAATAAATTTAAACCAAAGATGCCTAATGCAGCAATAAACTGTTAAGCCAACCATATTACCTATGTTCTGAGTAGGATTCCTGATTGCAATGTTTTGGGCTTCCACCATTTTTGCTAAGATTTTGAACCTGTTGGCTATACATACAACAGTGGTTCTTACCTCTCTAGATACTGCTCTCTTTGGTTCAACAACTCTACCATCAACCTTATGTGGTCTGGCATTCATGGCAGCATCAACCTCTTCCACTGTTGAGTAAGTGACAAATCCAAACCCCCTGGAGCGCTTAGTATTGGGATCTCTCATTACCTAAGAAGAAATAACATACATTTTTGCTCTAAAATACACAAGTGCAAGCAATGTACCTGGTGCAAGCAATGTTAAATTTAGAACAGGGGTGTCAAACTCGCCATGTCATGTGACATATCGCAACTTTTTCCCCATTGCCGGAGCTGGGGTGGGTGTGGTTTCGGCTTGCAGGTTGGCAGTTTGACACCCCTGGATTTAGAAAAAATGAATTACCCCATTTTCTTGGAAATAGTGATATACTAAAAGCAACATTAGCAGTTAATGTAGTAGCTGGGAGATTTTCTTTTTCTGACTATTCTATACTTCCTGTATCTTAATTCAGACACAGATATTTATTAAAATTGTTTGCCACCCATGTTGACATAAGGTGACATGTACTTACCACACAATCTGTAAGTGTGCCCCATTGCTCAAAATGATTGCGAAGGCTCTCATCTGTTGTCTCAAAACTCAGGCCACCAATAAACAGTTTTCGCAGCTGTTCAGGTTCCTTGGGGGACTGAAACAGAAAAGTAAGCAACACTAGGAAGGATATGATCACAGCTTACGATGGTGGGGGGGCCATAATGAAAATAAGCATGATTTATTCAGCATGTAAGAATACCAGGTCCCATCAGCCAGAACCAGGTAAAAAGTACAGGATTAGGTTTGCAGAAATTAGCTATTTAAGAAATAGGAAGTCCTTTTAGCACATGCAATATAGCTATAGTGAGTACCAGAACCAAGCTCATAAAACCCATTTTCACATGAAAAACTATTTTTGACTTGATGTTGTGACTTTTTCCCGTTAGGTTTTTATCTAACATCTGCAGAACCTAAGTACTGACAGTCCTTGACATACAATCAAAATTGTGATACTAAGCAAGACAGCTAAGTGAATTTTCCCCATTTTAAAACCTTTCTTGCCACAATTATTAAGTGAATCACTGCAGTTAAGTTAGTAATATGTTGTTAAGTGAATCTGGCTTCCCCCTTGACTTTGCTTGTCAGAAGGTCACAAAATGTGATCACATGACCTAAGGACACTGCAATCTTCATACATAAGTGCATACCAGTTACCAAACAACCTAATTTTGATCGTATGACAATGGGGATGCTGCAATGGTCGTAAGTGTGGAATCCTGGTTATAAGTCACCTTTTTAGTGCTGTTGTAACTTCAGTCACTACATAAATGGTTGTAAATCAAGGACTGCCTGCATTTTAGAGATCACTCAGGAAATGTAATCTTATTTTTTCTTTGATCCATTCTGGTGTCATAAAATGCAAACTTTCACCCTACATCAATTAACTACTTTGCTTGTTAATTTAAACAGAACCCCAAGACAGTAGAACATCAACATTAGCATTAAACTCCAATGCAATTAAGGTATCTAAAGCATTTATTTGGCTGCTTCTATATTGTTACACACTATAAGGAATTATACTTTAGGAACAAAGGCACTAATTCTGATATGCTCCGAAAAGGAGAAATACAACAGGCCGTCTTTTTAAGGCAATTCAGGAATATGCTTATTAGGCCTGCGAAAAGTATTGCTGTCTTAATAAATTTATCATTTTCGCAAATTATGTGTATTTTAGTGTTTCCAGCAAAGTAGTGGGGGGGGGAGGCCAGATTACGTTCCAATTTTGCGGAAACGGCAACCTTGTAGCAACCTCAAAATTTATAAAATACATACAATGGCTGATGGAACACGCTTTCTCAGCCAATGTAAGTGCATTCACATTTTAAAAACATTTAACTGGTGCTTCCTCGGGCACCTCTTGCCTCAGAACGGGCAGGCCTTCTCTTCTCACCCTCACATAAAAATCATCTGAAGGAAAGGGGAGAAGGAGTGTTACCGGGCCGTCTCTTTCCATTTGCAGAGAGAAGTTGGAGCAGAGAAACGTGAAAATTAAAGGCCGAGAAACCAGCTATCAGAGACAAAGCAAGTGAGCACGTGGCCTTCGCTTCTTCCCATCCCCCACCTACACGCAAACTCGGAACTGCTCCGGAGAAGTGCGCAGGCGTGTGCGTCTAGAGTTTTGCCCACTGCACGGCGCAAGCGCAGCCATTACGAGCGCAACAGATAGCAGCTGTGAACGCCACGCACTGGAAAAGATGGCGCCTAAGCTAGCAACACAATGCGCATGCGCAGTTTTGAAGACACGTAGGGGGGGGAGAAGTAAGCCCAACCGGAGAAAAAGGAAAGACCTACTAACAAAGGATAATCAGAAAGCCAAACAAGCGGCGAAAAAAGACGAGCGCAAAAGAAAAATAATGCATTTCAGTAGCGGGAATGAGGACAGAAACGATATTTGTAACACTTACTGCGTTAGGCGACAGATCGCACCCATAATCAGACGATCCCTAAAGGCAAAGGAAACATAATTCCACAAAAACAAGCCACTGGTTTAGAGTCGTAAAAATAAAATAAAAATGCCTGTTAATAGGCTCTTACCTCAGATTTGGACATCTTGGCAGTAGCAAATGGAGAAGGCCGGCCTTCTTCACGAACGACGATCCCTCTCGCTGCACCCGATACCGAAAGGGGCAGAGTCACCAGAGCGTCGTCGCCTTCACTATCAACACCCACCCCTATCCACTCTCATTGGATAGCTGTGTAGCTTTTGTCGATGCCTATTGGTTAATAGGCAAATAGTCTGCCTCCTAGTGGATGAATACACCTGTTTTCTCGTCATTGCCCCACCTCCTTTGTCTTTCTATTGGTTAGATTTCTGTCACTCCTTTGATTTGGTGAATTTTCCCGCCCTCTACTCCTAAAGCTCCAGCTGCAAGGCAACACCTTTCTCCTTCACATTGTTTCCTTCTCATTGGAGCATTCGGAGCGTAAGTTCTTCTGATTGGCTTTTACGACCGGCTATCTTTATAGAGATTGGTCCATCTTCTCTTCATTTATTATTATAGAGGCGGGAATTAAGTTCGTTTTCTAAACGGGTTTAGGTCGGTGGTTAGGACTATATCCATCCCTGTGGTGGTGAAGGTACATGCCAGGGTAGAAGGGGAAAAAAGATCGTTTTACATATAAAACTTGCTTCCAGGCAGGCGTACACGGTGAGGCGTACTGTACCTTTGCGCATGCGTCTTGAAATATATCCGAAGGGAGGAACAGAGGTTGAGGAAGATAGTAAGGAGGTGCGCGCGCCTCACGCCAGCGCGGTGAAGCTGGGAAGGGGGCGGAGGGGCTAGCGCGTGCGCACTGGAAAGCTGTTTTGGCGGGCGTTGCGCAGAAGCGGTGGCCGTGAGGGGGTACAAACCAGGGAGGGGGAAGTTGGTTTCGTACCGAGCCGTTACTTTCCCCAGGTGAGCGACCACGGGAAACAGTCTTGGCGTGTAGCGCGTTACCGAGAGCCAGTGATTCTTCGGGAGGGGGTGTGGTTTCGGTGTGATTGGGAGCCTGATTGACTGAGCCGTGAGCCACCGTTGGGTGGAGGGCGGGGCCTGCATTTTGGGCGGAGTCCTCAAAAGTGAGTGACAGCCGAATGAGTGAAAGCTTGAGGCAGTTAACAGCGTCTGAGGGTTAAGATCCGGTATGTGAAGTAACAGGCATTTTAACCAACGGGGGTGCTGGGTTTGTCTTCGGTAGGGTTGGCCCGCTGCTGTTTGATTGATGTGCAGTCTGGCCAATGAACGGCTACCCGGCTACAAGGAGTCGTCCTTAAGGAGGTGGGGGGGATCTAGGAGTAAAAAGCTTTCCCGTCATGACCCTACCCTCGCAGGAGAGAGGCGCTCATTTTGTTTGCGTCTTACTCTTGTTTCCCGTGCAGAATTTTTCGCCAAGCTTTTTCCCCGAGCCACCAGAAAGTGGGAGTCGTTTTCTATAAAAGTGGTGGCCGGGTATCTGCACCTTCACTTACATGGTTTCTATATTACCTCCGGAGAATTTTACAACAATTTTAAAACAATAAAAAATAAGCCGCATCTAGTTAATTCGATGCCCTAGTCTTGACCTGAGAATCCCAGTAATTGCATGATACGAACTACTTTATATACGTTCTAGACTCTAGAGCATTATTATTTACTATGGTAAACGTTTGTACTTCTACAATATCTTTTTTTTACTATTTTTGTTGGGTTATCTGGCTTTACTTTTAAGAGAAATTGAACTGAAAGGTGGATTGTTAATTTTTGTCCAGTCTGACAGCATTTATGAAAGATCTCATATTTAATCCTAAGAAATGAGGCTGTAGAGAATTTTGTGATATTATAAATCTTTGAGAACATAAAGGTATACACATATATTTTATCTATAATCTTAACATAGCCATATGCACGCATTTCTCTCTTTTTTTTAATTGAAAGGAACTTTTTTGTGGAACTATAAGCATATGGATGTTATTAGAAAATTTCATTGACTTAAAATATGAAAGCATTGTTTTCATGCAACTAAGTTTCTTTTCCTTTGTGTTCATGCCTGGATTGTTTTACAGTAAGCTAGGAGTATATATAGTAATTATATACTACTGTAGTAGTTGTGCATAGCTATTGCGCATAATGGTAATAAAGTGAGGGGAATAATGGTTAAAAAATCATGCAGTTTTCTGAGATACACTTTATCTAGCCCTACTTTGATACTTGAAACACCTGGAGAGCTATGAATGCATGGTATTTGGGTGTGAGGTTGATGACAAACTTAGTATTTACCTCTAAAATTGTAGACAGCATTCACCTCCATGAGGAATGACATTTTTTTGCTCACAATGAACCATGTTATGGCATGAAGATCAACTTTCTTTAGGGACAAATAGGAATTACTAATAAAAAGGACTGCAGGGTCACTTAACCACAATGGGAAGAGCAAGGATTGTGATCTGTAAGCAAAATCATCACGTAGGTGCCTCAGTTAACAGCACCACAACTTACAATTATAATGATCAGGCTCCATTATGGTTGTAAGTCAAGAACTATGTATGTGTAGTTAGCTTCTCACTAGTAACTAGTCTGCCCAAGGACAATGCCTGATAGCATGATAGCATACATATAAAGTACACAGAGCCAATTTGGTCTAGTGGTTGAGGCACCAGGCTAGAAAATAGGAGACTTAGTTGCAAGCCCCTCCTTAGGCATGAAAGCCAGATGGATGACTTTGGGCAAGTCACTCTCTCTTAGCCCAATTCATCTCACAGGGTTGTGGGGAAAACAGGAGGAGGAAGAGTGTTGGATATGTTCACCACCTTGAGTTATTTGTAAAAATATTAAAGGGGGGGATACATATTAAATAAACAGTTCTGAACTAAGGGGAAATCTTAAATTGGTTGCTGGAATGGTGGTAAAGTTGTGGTTGCTTCTCAGTAATAATTAGGAACTACAGGTATGTGAGATGTAGCATGCTTGGGAAAAAAGCCTTAATGGGGAACTCAGTGCAATTCTGGGATATTAGATTCAAAATGTTCTTAATTGTTCTATTATTCCCCCCCCCCCTTGCAGTGTTTTTCATGTTGGCCATATATAGCCATAATGGCCTATTAATTGTACATTTAAGCATGAGCCTGGCTTACATGGAACTCTGTACGTTGTAAAGTTTACAGGTAAGTGGTTTTTGCATCCTAGCTTTTTGTTTAGTATTTTGCATGGAAGAGATAGTTGTTGCCTATTACAATAATACGGACAGATAAACAGTATCTTATTATAAACTTGGCTCAAGAACAGAAGAAAACTGAAGAATAATCACAAGGATTCAGCTTGGAACATGGTAGCATTCAGCAGATTTCAAGAAAAAGTCCTCTTGAAATGTAAAGTTGATTTCTTAATTTCACCGTGAATTATGTTGGTACATTTCAGGTTATTTTCTAGTAAAAATGCTAATAAAATTGATTTGCTATTAAATAGAATCTTTACTCAGAATAAGGACTCATTTAATGAGAGAAAAGACAATATATATATACATGTAATCCCTAACTAGAATGTGTTGTGTGTATGTCTTATCTATCTATCTATCTATCTATCTATCTATCTATCTATCTACCTACCTACCTACCTACCTACCTACCTATCTATCTATCTATCTAATCTAATCTATGAAAAATTAACCAGCAAGTGACGTTTAGAAAATTTTCTAGAAATCAGTAATCTGCTTCCTTTGTGGAATCTCATGTTTCAGTATTTCTTCTTTGTCTACCATATTACTATTATAAAAATAAAAATTTTGTTTCAATGTAATTTTTATTTCTATCAACTATTTTTTTCATGCACATTAAAATAAGAATAAATAGATTAATACAGGTAAATTGGTAATTTATTTTTGTTTTCTTTTTTAATGTAATTTTGATCTAGTTACTCTATATTGTCTTTAGCATGCTATGCTGCCTGACCACTTTCTGAACAAGCAACAGATTTGCTTAAATATTAAGCTAGCTTAAATATGAAGTAAAATGTCTGTATTCCTGATTTGCTATTAATAATAAACCCTTTTCATATACAAAAAGTAAATATATTTGAATACTTTAAATGACTGAAGTGCAGTGACTACCAATAGTTTTATTTAAAATACAGTGACTGTCAAAACAATGAGCATTTTAGAACATTTTACTACTTTTTTTTTTTTTTTGCTTTAAAGTTGAATTAGATCTCTACCTTTTACTTTTGGGATAAAGCAAACTTCATTGGTTGTTAGCGAAGGACCCACACAAGCCAAGCCATTTGGGGCTTAGTCCCCCTCAGCTCAAGCCTGAGTAAGGTAAAGGAGTGCCACTAACTCCCCTGCTTGCCCCATTGCAGTTCAGGGACTTGTTGACATCTTGCAGACTGCACCTGCAAGAAGCCCCTGAACCACAGTGTGAAGCCCAGATCCAACCTGGCCCACCAGTGCAGTGCAAAGGAGCTTCTTGGTGTGCTACAGCTCTGGAGCTATAAGATGGTCCTGAGCCACAGCACAAAGTCCGGCCATAGCATGGTTCAAAATCACAGTTGCCCCAATTGTCCTCATTACCTTTCACTCCAAGGTCCCTGACCCTTTGCAAGGCAGCTGCTGACCATATGGCCATCTTCTCCACTGTGCACAACATGAAGAAGAGAGCTGCATGCAGCCAGCAGCTATCTCACAAAGGGTCAGGCCAGACATACCTCATAAGTAGTGGGAGCAAAAAGATGGTGAATGTCAGTTGGGACAGCAACATGCAGGGTAGCAGGGGAGCAAAAGGACATGGATGGGGAAGTTGAAGCTCCCTTGTGGTCATGTGAGCAAGATGCCAAGTGCCTTAATTTTGATCATGTGACCACAGAGGTACTGCGATTGCTGTAACTTCAGAGACAGATCATAAGTCCTTTTGTTCAGTGCCAAGGGAACTTTGAACAATTACTTTTTAGTTAAAAGTCAGATGAAGCCAGTTACGTTCAAAATTCATAAATAAATAGTATATATGTCTTAGTAAGTTTTTTAAACTTACAGCATAGAGAATTATTTTTATTCCCTTCAATGATTTGATACTTAAATTAGGTTTTAGGGGTTCCTTGTTAATAAAAAGATAAGATTATAAAGCAGTATGAAACACCGCTGAGCTATAAAACAAAATCAGGCAGGTAGAGACCATTACGGAGTGATTTCATTTGCTGTCAGAGTAAATGTAGACTGTTTATTAATGTATATTCTAAAAGCAAACCCATGTATTGTTAAATTGGAACAAGAACCATGTATACAAGTGGTTTGAAAATAGCTTTCATCAGACAATTGGTGATAGCATAGGTTACTGCAATTGCTATAAAATAATTGTAGATGTTAATAATGACTAAGAAATTTAGATCATATTTTGACACTAATTTTAAGAGTTTATTTTGATGTTCAACATTTTGTTTTAAATTTAGATATCAGTAAGGCAGGTGTCCCAAAAAGGACTAATTTGTAATGAAAAATTTAAATATGTGTTTTCAAGAAAGTATATTTAATTAAAAATAGATGATTCAGGAGGCAGTAGATGGTAATTCTTGTCTGGGCTTAAGCTAAGCAAGGCTTGTTGGGCTTGGTTGATACTTGGCTGAAGTATTGGGGAGTATCATAGATGTACTTAGATTGAAAAGTTAAAAAAAAAAATCAGAAGAAGGTAATAGCAAACCAAGAAAACTACATGGGCATATCCATGAAATCACTAGGAGTCAGGCTTGTCTCAAAGGAGGCTTTGCTTTTTACAAATAGTTCTGGACAACTGAGTAATATGTTCTTTGTAATATATGATAATAAAAACTACTTCCTTTCCTCAACAAATCTGAATGCCTTTAAAATCTGCTCTAGAATTGTCCTGGGCAAGGAGAGTGAGAAATGGTTTTATAGAAAAGGCATATGTACTGAAGTATTATTGGATCCTGCCTGA